AAAATACTAAAATAAAAATAATATGAATCATTCATTTTAAGAAACAATAGTATAATATGAACCATTCATTTTAAGAAACAATAGGACCGACATTTTTTTGTTCCAGTTAAGGGCCTAACATTATTGGCTCTGATTAGAATTGTAGATGTAGAGATGTAGAGATGTAGAGATACTGCATGATTTCCGCATTCTAAAATATTATTTGTGTTACATTTCAATAGGCTTTCCTTCTCAGCTTATATATGCAACCTACTAGAAGAGTTTATTTAGTGCATGTTGTATATCCCAATTGTATTTATTTAAAAAAGAATGTTTTTTTTTTTAAATATAAAAGTTTTAAATGTGAAACTTCTTCTAAAAGCATGCCCTCTTTTTGTATTTTATTAGTTTTAGATTCTTTTCTCTTTATACCTGACATATATATAGTTTATGCTTTTGCCCCCAAAAAAAAAAAAAAAAAAAAAAAAAAAAAAAAAAAAAACCTCATAAAATGTGAATTACACCAGGTAGTGGCAATTTATATCCTGCATCATGGCGCGCGTTGTATTGTGCGCCCATATACAAAACGACGTCGTTTCAATTTTTTTTTTTTTTTTTTTTGAAATTTCGCTACCCAGTGTTTGGCAGTTAAGTTTCTTTAAAAAAAAAATTCATGTTAAAAAATGTACATAATGTTATACTAGAATACACATAATTGTATACATGAATGTACATAATTATATAACAAAATACACATACTCTTTTTTAAAAGATAATACACATAATCTAACATAATACATAATAAACATAAACTTTTAACATAATACACATCAACTCTTAACATAATACACAAAAATTTCCTGATTCGGATGTACATAATTGTATAAAAAAAATGTACATAATTGTATAAAAAATGTACATAATAAAAAATATACATAATTGTATAAACAAATATACATAATCATGTCAACTTCCTACCGCGCCTCCCAAAACGACGACGTTTTGGGAGCCGCGGGGCGCACAGTGCAGTGTGCGCCGTGGTGCAAGGTATAACGATTGAGCTAAAACACTAAGGAAAATAATTTTTATTTTACACAAATTTAATGAGAAGAGAAGTCTTCACTAAATGCATTTGCTAGGAATAATGGTATGAATTGATGATTTTAATGATACATATATAATAAGTTAGGAATTTAAAACTCTCAAAAATTTTCATATTTCAAAACAAGTTTTTATTAGACGTTAAAGCAAAACGATCTAATCAATACAACCAATATAGACTTAGCACAAACAAGTAAAATTGAAAAAGAGTAGAGAATTTAGTTTTAAATAAGCACAAAACAATTCAACAAGACTAAGAGGACATGAACCTGTATAGACCTCTCGAGCTGATACCGTTGAGTAGAATTGTGAAACTCAAAGAATACATTATTGTCTGTAGCAAAACGATGAACAAACAAAGGAAAAGTGGTTAGGTGAGGAGGAACATGGAGAACACCATTCAAGAACAAAGGACAACTAGGAGAAGGTATATATTGTTGGTCATGAGGGGGTGAATAGACTCTATGCAATTTTAAAACTTTGCTTCGAAAGAGTTATGCACAACGGAAAATATATGTTCCTTTTTAGTTTTCTTTGCACACTTTCGTTAGAAATCGTCTTAACGAGAGGATTATGAATGCAATGCAAGGCAATTAAGTAACGAGAGACAGAGAGAGAGAGAGAGAGAGAGAGGGAGGGAGGGAGAGAGAGAGAGAGAAAGATTTTTATAGTGGTTCGCATGTTAACTAAACCTACTCCACTCTTCTTTCACAACTCGTGAAATGGTTTGCACTGTCACTCCTTAGTACAAACTAAGTTAAGCTTGCTTCCTTGATCACTAAGCCGGACAACAACTTGTTAGGTTTTTCAACTCCTCCGAGTTTACTCCGCCTCTATCAACATCAACCGAGTTGAGTGTTGGAAAGAATTGATGTTATCTCCAACTTGAAATCTTGACTAGATGATGACTTGATCTTCGTATAAACTGCAAGATTTCTTGATGTTGTGAAGACTTGAAGAGCTTGATAATCTTTTAGAAGAGTCTTCACAAACACACGCTGATTGTGAAAGCTAGTAACTTGAGAATTTTTGAAATCTTTTTAGATAGCAATAGAGTGATAAAAACCAACATACATCTTCTTCAGGTGACGAAGAGGGGTATTTATTGGGTGATAAATCCCTCTGTTGGATGGTGATGGAGATTTCAAACCTATTAACCAGCAAGTAATGACCTCTGGGTAAGGAAACTTAAATGCGGCTGTACTGTATAGCCGTTGGCTTCAAAAAGCAACCAACCATTTTGTCATTTTGTGCAGACTGGTTGTAGTATATTTTCAAACAAATAAACTTTGAGTAACGAGTTATCGATCCACAGGAAAGTGGGGTATTAAGCACCAATTACTAATTTATTCGTAAGACTTATCCTAATGATTATGATTGAATGTTGCAAATAAATAAAGTAAAGCAATGATTCAGAGTTTTGAAATCAATATAGAGAGATTGAGATTCATGGGATTTAAGTGTTTAATCCCCAAGTGCCTAACCTAAAGTAATATTAAATCTGGATTTAAACGAGTGTGAGGATGCAAGGTGGTATAGAGTTACTCATGTAGGCACTAACACTAATGAATATCTACTCCCGTAGTATAAACACCCAATAAGAACAAGAACAAGCATTCATAAATAATTCCTAATCACTACCATCCCCGGATGTGCAATAATCAATAATTAAAACTCCCTAACAAATATGTCATTTCCTATGGTATAAAAGTTAAGTGCAATTGTGTGAACTCTCAATTATGCCTAACTCCCGTTATGACATAAACAAAACAATGAAACAAGTAATTCGTGCCCTGAACTACTCGCAATGACAATAATAAACACAATTGCAACACAAATTTAAAACCCAAATAATAATATATTAAAGAATCTGAGAGCACATGCACATAGGTTCATAAACACTTTTACCCAATAATCCCTAATGGAATTTAGCCACACATGGTTAAATTATACATAGCAAATATAATAAAAGAACTACAAATCATCAAAGAGAGTAAAAGATTGAACCACACAATTTCTCCAAATCTCCCTAGTCTTCTTCTTGATTCCCAAGACAACTTGTGACTCTTGATTTCTTTTCTTCTTGTCTCCAAAGATCTCCCAATGAATATTAGGGTTGAGGAACATGGGATTTTATAGTAGGAATCAATCCCGGAGGAAATAGGAATTTTTTGCTCAAAATTGGGCCGAAATCGCACCTGGGCCGCCATTTTCGATGCGTCGAGTCTTAATCCTCAAATTTCATTTGGATATTCCTAGGCTGAGATATGGTTCAAAAACCAAACTTTCACCAATCTGTGCGAGAATTTTCACTTATTACTCTTTTGCTCCACTTTTACCTTGGTTTGCCCAAGTGATCAAGACCATTGAAAACACCACTCTGTGGCCCAAGTGTCCGCAAAGATTGGTACCCCTGATGAACTCTTGAGCGCCAAGGAAATCAACGAGCTCACCTAGGGTTATGGGTTGACCGCGAACCGAGAGAGAGGCGGTTAGGTTTTGAAACTCTGGACGTAAACCACGAAACACATAAAGATTCATCTCTTATAACCCAACCGGCCTACTGGCCAAGGCAAGATCCTCTAAATAACACGGGCACGACCAATATAATCAGCAACCGTGGAATCTCCATGGCTTAGAGACTGGAGTTAGCCAAGGAGATTTAACGAGCGGGCGCAAGAAGTGGAAGCCAAAGACTGTTCAATTGACTCCCATACCTCCCGTGACGTACGGCGTCCAACGGCGAGGTGCATGACTTCTTCACTGAGAGAAGAAATCAACATAGACATAAGAGCCCGATCATGCCGAAACCACGATGTGTGTTCAGGATTAAGGACGGGCGAGGCGCCTTCGACAGCAGGAAGAAACGGCGCCGGACAGGGATGAGTCCCATCAACGAATTGCATGAGACCGTGTCCGTCAAGAAACGGTACGACTTGAGTTCTCCAAAACAGATAATTTTTATGGGTAAGCTTAATACTGATAAAGTGATGAGCAGTAGAAAGAGAAGTAACAGCTGAGCTAGCGGAAGACGTGATAACTGCATTGGAAACGGTTCGTTCGGAGGAGTTAGCAGATTCGTCAGCCATTGGAATAGAGGAAAAAACTCTAGCTTAACTGATACAAAATGAGAACTGAAGGAAACTGTTACAACTTTACGGACAAGGGGAATATATATACAAGATGAATCATAAGGAGACTAAAATAGAGAGGGGAATATATATACAAGAGAAATCATAGAGAGACTAAATATGGAGTCATACTGTGACTCAAATACAAGAAACCTAATACTACTCCCAATAATAGTGACTATAGATAAAATTGTGTGGTTTTTCATATAAAAAATGGAAAAAAGTGCTTAAAAAATACACATTTTCCATTTTTCCAGAAACTAATCCCACCCACGGCGACAATAGTTATTCTGTGGACGGTGGTCCACATAGCTGTGTGGACCACGGTCTAAAAACGACGTAGTTTTGCTTAATTTTATTTTTTTGTGTGCCTAGCTGCAACATACATTTTTATAACTCATCATGTACATTATTCTAAAGCATAATGTAGATTATTCTAAAACATAATGTACATTATATTTTTCCAGATGTTTCATTATTCTAACACGTAATGTATATTATTTTAATACATAATATACATTATTCTAACACGTAATGTACATTATTCTAAAACATAATGCACATTATTCTAACACATAATATACATTATTTTTACTCATAATATTCACGACGATATTTTAGACCGTGGTCCACACAGCTGCGTGGACCGTAATTTGCGAACTTTATTTTTATTATTTTTTTTTTGAAAACCCCTTAGAACTTTATTTAAAACAACATTGAAGTGAAAAACTGATACTGAACAAAACATTAAGGACAGAATCACAAGTAGATAAGACATTGAGGCTCAAATTAAACTTGGAATTTGACTGACTACATATATAATCTCTTATAAATATCTCCATTTTTGTTTTTAATTCCTAGAACAAACAATATTTACATTTACATATGCAATAAATCTCCTATTGAACAACCAGAATGAAATGTACTTTACTGGATGGAAATGATTCTACCAAGGCATAGAAGCAGTACCTCCACCATCCCCACTCCCAGGAAGAACAACACCCTCAGTTGTCCAAAACTGGCTTTCCTCCTCCATTCCTGAATCATCTTCAGAACCAAACTCTTCTTTGTCTGTATCATCTTCAGAGCCAAGATCATCGAGCTCGAATAAATCATCTAAGCCATCATAAGAGACATCGAAGTCATCATCAACTTCCTCATTCGAATCAGCGCTTGTGATAAGCTCAATGGCTTTGCCTTTACCATATGCCTTCCTCTTCTCCCTTCTCAATTGCTTTCCTTCCCTAACCAGCTGCATAAACTTATCTTTGATAACCAGTAGCTCATCCTTCTCCTTAAGCCTACCATCGTCATAGCCTTCAACCAGAAACACAGAGTGTCTCAGCCCCTTCAAACTCACATAGAACAACTCGGGGTGCCTCACCAGCATTGCCCTCAACTGGTTTGACAACCCGAAGTCCTTCCTGAAATGCGTCAAGTGGTCTACCAGAGTCCTCTTCTCGACCATCATGCCTAACACCTCCCTCACAACCGCACAGGCCCTTTTCTCCGCCTCAATGGACTCCTTGGGGAAATCCTTCACTTTTGATCTATACGGACACACATCCGGGAGTTCATTGAACTTCACGAGATAATCCTGATGCCGTCTCTTCAAATTGATCCCCTTTCTGAGCCCCAAATGTTTAAATCTCAGTGGTCTATCGACAATCAGCCCAAGTGAAGCAGAGTCAACTTCAAGCGAGGGTAAAGGACGAGCCAAACTCGAATCCCAAGAAACAAGCTCAAGAGCCCTTCCATAGGAAGTGTCCACAACTTTGAACCTATCCGGGAATTCATTGCAGAGGCGAGAGCGGAAATTAACAGGCAAGCCAAGATCAGGACCAATGTGGACGAGCTTGGATAACAAAATCCTCCGATGCGATGAGAGCATTAAAAGCTTCTGGAGTTTGGCAGCTAACAAAACTGACATTTTGGACTTCAGCTCATACTCTCTAACAGCAAGAGCAGCTGCAGCTGGAGTGAGCCTAACACATAGCTGGGAGAGTGGTTTGGTGGCATTCAATGGAGTTGGAGGTGTGGGGATAGTGAAGAATTCGAAGATGGTGGGATAACGATGGATCATGGAAAGAATAGAGTGGGTTTTGGAGAGAGCCAGATAGGCACGACACTTGTAAATAACTTTGAGGGGCAAGAAATGCTTGGGTTTCGAAAGGAGCAGCGTCTTTAGCTTCTGAATGAAGCGGATTTTGTTGCTCTTTACAACATGCCTGTCCAATGACCGATCACGCACTAGCTTGAAAGGACCAGAAGAAGCACGAACAGTTGAAACCCTAACACACACTGTTGTTGTTTTGGGTCTGAGCACCATAGCATCCACAACACACCACTCTTTGCTGCTTCGGCCCGGCAGGAAACTGGAGTGGAGAGGAGTAAAATGGGAGTTGCTTGGGAATTGAAGTCTTACTGGTAGCGTGAGCATTGTTTACTGTTTCATCAGCCAAGCCGGTTAAGGCAAATAATCAAACATTTGGTAGGCGTCACAGATTGTAGTCGTTGAGGCAAATGATCGAACACTTTGCAGGCTAGTCATTGAGGCAAACCATCTGAGACAATCTATAAATTATGGGTTCTGAGGATCATGCTTCAAGCCTTTCTAATAAGTCTCCAAATCTTTTCAGAATCTAGTCTCAATGATTGAATACTTGGTAGGCGTCACTTCCTCCGGTCAGAGAGGCAAATGATCGAACACTTGGCGGCGTCACTGGTTCTGGACTTCTGCCTGTTAAAGAAGAGCTAGGGACTCAAAAAGGCGATAAATGTGTTTAGATGCGCTTGAATTAGAAATGAGATTTTTTTTGTTCGTTTATTTGTGCAAAAATAGTGCATTCTATGAATATTCGCTTGAAAATATAAAATTTTCATATTTGATTCAGCTTATGTAATTTTTGGTTAAAGTTTCTATGACTTTATGAGATCCATGTACTATAATGTTTTGTTTAATTTAATCCTTATACATTTATTTTGTGTACTTTAAAAATGGTACAATTAAGGACAATAGTTAACGGTGTTAATATTACCGTTAATTGACGCTAATATTATCACAATCACATCGTGATATTTATATTATAACTCATATATTATTTTATAAATATTTAAAATTAATTATTTTTTATATATCGAGGAGATTTAAACAATAGACCAAATCCATAAAAAAAAAAAAAAAAAAAAAGACCATTATTAAGTACCACTTCACTACATCTAGTCCCACTTCACTACAACATGCACATCGGCTATGTTATGAAAACCTAGCTGAAAAGGTAGCTAAAAGTTGAAAAACTATAAGCTAAGAGAAGAAAATTGAAGAGTTGTTAACTAGCTGATTATACTTAAAAGTGTTTGGTAAAATTAGTTTTTTTTGATAAGCTGATAAATGTAAAGAGACTAAACAAAGATATTTTCATAAAATTTAAATGATGTGATTATTATATTATTTTTATATTATTAAATATATGAGATATATTTAATTTATAAAAAAAATGTTTTTGTTTTTATAATATATATGAGATATATATTAAATTAAAACAAAAGAAAAAAATTGGGAAGGGTAATCCGAACCGATCAGTTTTCTGCTTTTTTTATTTATTTATTTATTTATTAATAATAATAAATATATATTATATTAAATGTTTAAGGTGAGATTTGAACCCTTACTCATTTGGTCATAAACTAAGAGCTTTACTCACTAAGCTATAGCCACATTCATGTTTATATTCACATTTGTATGCTAATAAAGGTATACGACATTTTTCATTAAATGTTGCACACTTCAGATATAATGAATAAAATTGTCCGTACTACATTCTTGTTAAACTAAAATACCATTATACCGTTATTACACCGTTGCTATTTAATTCTAAAAGTTTCATAATTCTATCATTATTATCAAGCACACACACACACATAATTAACTATGATATCTTTTCCTATTCTTTAATTATCATTTTATTAAAATCATTATATAATTACTTTAATTGTTGATTATATTTTAATTAAATTTCTATGAATAGTAAATCACATATGTGTGTGTGTATATATAAAGATACACACACATACCAATATATGTTACCGGGTACTAGATTAGCATTATAGATATATTATTTATTTATTGTAAAAACAAAATATAAATTATATCAAAATTGTTTATATTATTAATAAAAAAATATATAAATTTTGTTCATCTCTATAATTTTCAAATACGATGATTAAAATTTACTATTTTAAGGAATTGCGAAATATAATTTGAACAATAATTTGTAATTATTTGCATTTATCAATTTTTTAATGTTGGACATAAATTTTCGTGCATCACGTGTACAAAATGTTAGTATTATATATAAATATTATAATAATTAATAATTTTAACTCCTCAAATCCTCAAATCTCAACTCCAAGTTGTAAGTCCCAACATTTGGTGTTTTAATAATTTTTATTTTTCAAATATTAACTATAGATGAATGATTCTTCATCTTATCATCAACAAAACACTTCAAGTGGCACTCCAAGTGAGCCAACTAAACAATCGGTCAGGCAAAAAAAGAAACGTTCAAATAGTATACTTTCACCAAAACCGAATCGAATACCGAACCGAAACCAAACCAAACCGAAACCGAACTTTTCAAACCGAAACCGAACTCTATTTTAAACCGAATGGTTTAATTTTTTTAAAATCGAAAACCGAAACCCGAAGTGCCCAGCCCTACTTTAAGGAGTTGCTGGGCAGTGAAGAGTTGCGAAAGAGAATGAATAAAATATAGGAGAAGAGAAATTAAAGTTCAAAAGAGTTTTAATTGGAAAGGGTAAAGGATATCATTTATTTAATTAATCTGGGGCAGCGCGAATCAATAAACCCGATAAACAACGGATAATGTAAATGGATAGGTAAAATAGATCAAACAAGTGTTCTAGGGTCGCGGCGACCAAACATTATATTGAATAGTGATTGTCAAGCTATTACAATGGCTAGGTAATGCTATTACAAAATTGAGGTAAGACAAAGACATGGAATGTGTCCTAAAGGGACAAGAATGAGGTTCTTTACAGTGGGGCAATGCCCGTGGCCCCACCCGTGGGGAACAATTGTTGATGGTGCGGGGATTTGTTCCACGTGATTCTTTTCTTCTTGGTATTGATGTTTTGACCTCCCGTTGTTGAATTATTGAGCTATTTGTGAGTCTTCTTGATGTTCGTATATCTAGAACGATGTGTTAGGAATCCATGTTAGGATTTGGTGTCTTGAATCGTGCTAAGGGTCCAACTATGTGATTCGTTGGGCTAATATGAGTCTTGAAGGTTCGTTGGAACCATTTTGGTTTACCCGCTTGATGAGCATGCTAGTTTGATGTTGTTATGCTAGTATGTGTGGTTGTTCCTTCTTATTGGGGTTGGCAACTTGCGTTGTCAATCATTTTGATGTTGGGTTGTAATCCTTGATTGTTGAGTATTGCTCAAGTTTTTGTTGATATCTCTAGATTGATTCTTATGATGTGATCTTGTACAAATCGTTGTACTCTTTGTTGATACTTGATTGGGGCTATTAATGAGCCTTAGTTTTCTTAATGATGATGACTATGTGTGAATATGAATGAGATTGGTGGTTTGTTACTTGAGTTTTGCTCACATGATCGGTGGTTTGTGACTATGATATTTAATGGTACCCTTGTGTACTGAGAGTTCGACGGTGAATGATTGGCGGTGTTGGTGGGGGGACGACGGTCTCACGGTCCTAGGCGGAATAAGGTTGGACTCAGAAGTACAGGGTGGCACTAGGAGGTAATGGTTGGAACTGAGATAAGGCCGGGGTAGCCATAAGGTTGGAACATGGGCATAAGGTTGGAACTTGGAACGTGAATATGTCATTATGTGATTTATTGTATTTCCCTGCTTATATGCATGTCTTTGATGAACTCTACCTTGTGAATGGTAGGTTGCATCTAGAGTTGTGTTGTCCCTTGTTGTTGTGGTTTTGTGGTCTTGTTGAGGTTGATGATCCTCGTTCTTGTTGAGAGTGTGATGAGTCTTTGATGTTGATCTTCTTCTGGCTTTCAAATGATATATACTGTATTCCTCAGTCTCAAACGCTTTTGATTATATCTATCTATATATTATGCTATTTAACGCGTATTGATGGGTTACCAACATTATTCGCTGACCGGGTGTTATCCTTATGTTTTACAGGTTTTGCTTAGTAGGAGAGCGCGCTAGTTGTGGACTCTAGTTAGCGTAGCTTCGTTTTTCCCTCTGTTTAGTTTTGGGCCTGTGAGCCTTAGATAGATGTGGCATGTGTGCCTTAGACAATATGTTGCTTTGATGGATTTTTGTAGACTTAGCTTGTGCACCCATGGTTTTATGGGTGTGACATAACACCTTTCCCGGTTTATAATAGCTTTCGTTTTATGTTGATTTATGTTTAGTTTGCTTATCTTTGAATTTAAGTTTTAAAATGTTGGTAAAAATCGAGAGTGTTACATATAGAATTTATAGATAACCTCATATTTAGTATTTTTTTTTATTAAATTTTAAAATAAGATTGTAATAAATATTTTTATGAAAATAAATAATGAAAATTTTAAAAATTACAATAAATATTACTCCGTATATTATAGTGCAAGTATATAAGTATATTACGGAGTAATTATTTTTAGTTTGAATTTAGAAAGGGGGGTTTAGATTGATCAAATGATGTATAAGTTTATATTTATTAGTGTAAATTTAGAATATAATTATAATTTATTTAGCACTAATATAATTTAGAGTTAATTCCATGAATGATCCCTTAACTATTAATATTAATCAATTTTTATCACTGACACACAATTAGACCATATATGGTTTATTGACTATTGACATTTACCAATTTTCAATTCGCTTTTGACTTTCAACTTGAACATAAATTGTCCATTGATTATTGATGTTGTTCCAAATTTAGTCATGTAGTTAAATATCAATTTAGTTAACATTAAACTTAAAGGTAATAATGCAAAAATTTTGGTTCTTCACGTTCCTACTAGTGATGAATTCACTGCATTAAGTTTATGAACCCAATTTGCTTATGTCAACAACAAGCCAATATGTACACTATTACACTTAATTTAATGTTTATTAAATGATTTTTTTTCACTAGATAACCAAATTTGGTACAAAATCAATAGTCAATGGACCATTTATGGTCCAACTAAAAGTCGAAGGTAAAAATTGGTAAATGTCAATAGTTAATCGATCATTCCTAAATTAACTCTATAATTTATATGTAATATTGTTACTTCATAATTATAATATTATTAAGTTATAAAGTTTATAAAATGTATAGTTTATAACTTTACATAGTTTATGTAATAAACATGTTAATAACGACTGTACTTAGATTTTGATGATGCTATGACTGTATTAGGACTTTAGATGCTCCATATATTTCAGTGTATGTAATCAGTTAGGTATCTTTAGTCTAGGCCAAAAATGTACACAATGGAGGTTGATAAAAGTTATGAAGACTTTCTAAGGTCGGTGCATGGTCATTGGTCCTTCTATGTACCCAAAACCACCCTGTCTGCTAATGGTTACTGGCATCGAGAGAATTCTACAAATTTGAAGATTGAAGCTTTTGCAGAAAATGTCATGATACAAAGGGAAATCAAAGACAAGATAACATCTACTGGCTGTGAACATAGGACCCGGGCATTTTATGGCAAACACGTTTTTACAACAAGCATGGAGGTTATGCTCTTTTTAAGAAAGAAGTGTGCGCCTACAAGAATATATCACAGA